TATTAGATTTCTAGAGTGGTTTTTTAAACCATATGGACCTTGGTATGGTGAGCCACGGGATTCCTGTCTAGTTACAAAGGAAGCCCAATGCATGAAAAGAGAGTTGCGTCACAGCAGTGTCATCAATTACGCACAAGTATTTCCTTATCATTGTTGCAGAGGTAACACCATGAGCAGGAAAAAAATTGTACAGAGCTAATGGATACTTCAATTTTCACCTAAACATACTAAAGTGGGCCGAGCGAGAAGCCACCTTGGCTCTTGTTTGAAAAAGTACTGAATACTGTGATGCTGCTACTGTGACCAGTTGCTACTGGTCTAGTGGTCTCCACGTCGATTTTGATTTATGTTTTCCACTACTGTTTGGAGCTGGACGTCACGCGGTCTAAAACATGCAGTACGTACTAATAAAACTCCCAATAGCGACGATGAGCGACCAATGAATTAATATCACAGCATTCCTGAGTACTCAACGTTTTCAAGCTAAGTACCGCTGTATCGTATACATCGTGGTTCTCTTTATCTTTTTTTGAATGTGAAATATTTTAATCGTTAACACTACACGATATAGAAATATCATAGGGTGAAGATTCAAAGATTTCTTGTTGATGCTACAATTGTTCCTTGATACCAGCATTACTACGAAATAAGGAGCCTACCCTAAGTGTGGTTAACATATGCTCACATTGTTGTACATTGAAACTACACAATATCATGAAAATGGATATTGAGGTGACTGATTCATGCCTTGTCGAAACTTGTACCCTTTAGTGAACAAAACATCATTTTTGTCTTAAATTGTCGGCAAAACAATCTAAACATGCTCTGATCAGATGCATTATGCAGTGGTAGTCGACCGCGGAAACTGTATGTTTCGAAAAACAAGTATTCGCCCGAGACGTGCTTTTCAAGGGCGACTACTCGTTTTGAAGAACTACTAGTAAACAAGGGCAACTATCACGGCCCCGATATTTAAACTGGAACCTCTCCACCAATGAGAGCGGAGGTAAATTTACAATCGAAACCAAACAAATACCACGGTCACAGTAAAAACGGTTGGCGGCATGCTTGACACATTGTTAGGACTCATAAACGGTTTTAATTTCAGAATATTTGATGCGTGATACCAACGAAGCAGTCGCATGGAGAAAATGAGATCAGAGTATCCATATATAATTCAACAACAAATTTTCCTCTCTGCTCTCACTTGGTTGAGGGTTTCTATTAGTGCTGCTTTAGAGAATAATAAAAACGATAGAGCAGATTGAATCTCAGGGCATTATGCTGTGGTAGTTGCCCTTGGAAACTGAATGTTCCTCAAAACTTTAAAGTCGTCCTCGAACTACTGGTCTGGGTCGACAATGATTTTTAACCTTTCCGCATGCAAATATCACAGCATATTGCTCTCGATTCAACTACTCTATTGTCTAAATACTGGTAACTTTTGATTTGACTGTTTAGGTTTCTTTTTTCCGTCAAGCACTCCCACTCCTAAGAGATCCTAAAGGATCGCGGGTTCGTCTAGTTCATGCAGCTGAGGTACTACAGGAAACAACAAAAACGTTAGGAAACGTGGCTAGGCAAAGTCAGTTTACTATGCATACAGAGAACCAGAACATCGTTCAGTCGAGCTAAAATCTATTGTGGTTACAGATGCGCATTCTTAGGTAGCCCGTTTGCTTATAATTTTATTTTTTGAGTATTATTATACTAACCTGTTGTCATTTTTTCCTTCGATTTTGTCTCAGAAGGGCCTGAAAAACAATTAAGGAAGAAAAATGATCAAAGCCAAGTGTAAATCAGAGTCAATGCTGGTCTAATCCTTTTACTAACCCGAGGTCTCAGACATCTCATAGGGTCCTGCTGAAGAACAAGAAAATAAACATAGTAATGTTATATGTAGTTGACATCTCTTCCTCAGGCAGTTTTTTTATTGTGTGAATTTTCCTACTTACCTGAAGTCATTTTTTTCTTGAACATTGTTGCCTCAGAATGTTCTGAAGTACAGAAATAAGTAAACAAAAATTATTATTTACATCCGCGGTAAATAAACTACAACAAATTTATGCTTCATATCAATTTTCAAAGTATTGTATTGCCAAAGCTTGCATTGATTCATCCCGGCAGTATGACAATCTATAAAGTGTCAAAATGTTGATTGTGTCTGCCTGAGACTCGTGTTTAGTTTCCTCATGATTAAGCATGAAACTGATTGGCTGTCTTACAACGTCTCCAGTCTTTCAGTCTAACTTTGATTGCTCATACTAACCAGAAGTCACTTCTTTCTTCGAAATTGTTGATGTCTTAGAAGGAGTTACTAAAAGCAAAGCAAATGATAGGCTGAACCAAGTGAGAGTTTATTATAACAATAACTGATCATGAAATAGTATATATTACAACAAGCCGCCAATGGCAACACAACTCGAAGATTG